CTGCTAAGTCGCTTCAGTCGTGTCCAACTCTGTGCGACCCCATAGACGGCAGCCCACCAGGCTCCCCTGTCCCTGGGATTCTCCAGGCAAGAACACTGGAGTGGGTTGCCATTTCCTTCTCCAATGCATGAAAGTGAAAAGTGAAAGTGAAATCACCCAGTCGTGTCCAACTCTTAGCGACCCCACGGACTGCAGCCCACCAGGCTCCTCCGTCCATGGGATTTTCCAGGCAAGAGTACTGGAGTGGGGTGCCATTGCCTTGTCCAACTTAGTGACTAAACAACAACAAATATTTTTTCTTAATCTGTAGCTCCAAGTCTGTGATTTATTTTCCCATATGTTTCTGTAAGATCTCCTCAGCTTATTGTCAGAACCTCTTTGTTGAAATTTTGACTCTTGGGTGTTGGAAATGATGCTCATACCCATTTATAATAGCAGCAGGTCTCTTGTGAGATTCTGACTTTGCATGGGGTCAGCTCACAACTCCGGAATGACGGCCTCTGTCACCCACTGTCCTCCCATCCGGCCTTCTCTCGCCTCTCTTCATGTTGTAACCCAAATTGCCCTGAGCCATCAGCTCCTCGTCTGTCTTACAGACACCGATGGCAACGGGTACATCAGCTGCAATGAACTGAATGACTTGTTCAAGGCTGCCTGCTTGCCTCTGCCTGGGTACAGGGTGAGAGAAATTACAGAAAACCTGATGGCCACGGGTGACCTGGACCAGGATGGGAAGATCAGCTTTGATGAGTTTATCAAGGTGAGTATGATGCAGAAGCCAAGGAGATGCATTTGAAACAGGGAAGTTCAATTTGAGAAATACCAGCAATACATTCCCATCTTTCATGCTTCAGCATTGCTTATTCTTTCCTTTATGGTTTTCTACATCACAGATTTGGTTTCTAAAGATACGTTATGTGTTTGCAGGTTTTTCATGGCCTGAAAAGCACAGAGGTTGCCAAGACCTTTAGAAAAGCCATCAACAAGAAGGAAGGGATTTGTGCGATCGGGGGCACTTCCGAGCAGTCTAGTGTTGGCACTCAACACTCCTACTCAGGTAGGTGTGCCAGCCTGGGAGCTGCGAAACAAGGTGGAGAGACGGTTTGGAGGAACTGAGGGCAAAGGGAGAGGGAACCATGTCGAAACGATGCACGTCTCTTGTGGTTACAGATTCCAAACTCAGCATTCAAACCTAAAGGGTGCGAAGAAAGACAGAAGTTAACCTGAGTTTATTAACTACTGCGTATCTTCCTGTGTATAAGTGGGCCCACAGTTCTGGCTCTAGATAGGGTCCAATGCCAAATAATCTCATCAGCATTCAAAAAGTGTATTATAGGGACTTCCCTGGTGGTCCAGTGGCTATGACTCTGCATTCCTAATACAGGGGGCCTGGGTTCAATCCCTGGTCAGGGAACTAGATCCCACCTGCCCCAACTAAGACTCAGTGCAGCCAAATAAATAAATGAATTAAAAGAAAACAACTTTAAAAAGCATATTAAAGGCTGCCAAAACTCCTTTGTAAATCTTTTGAACAAAAAGCCTTCTACCTCCAAAATTCATGATGGTTCTTAATTCTTGCTGAGCAGTCCAAAAAAATAATTGTGTTTTCATTGATTTGGAGGAAAATTGTATATTTATTCTGAAGGCTGCCATCCATCAGCCTTCATGGAAACTTCTATTAGCCCAAACAGTACAGTAATCTGATAATTCCAGTAATTCCTGTGGTCTTCAAAACACTGTTTGATCTTAAAGATCAGCTCATTCTTAAGTATCATTCTTAATGGCAAAGACCAAGTTCAGCCTTTTATTTTTAAATATAGCAAATTTTATAGGCTTTTGCTTTGTAAATGTGCATTAGGAATCTTCAAGACAATAATATGCTGTGTGAAATCTTCAAGACAATAATATGCTATGCAATGTTTCCCAAACTGTTGTGACTCAGAATTTTTCTGAGGAACATTCTTGCTTTCAGTAACACACAATTTGGGAAACACAGTGCTGGGCTATAAGGCATAACTTGAGGCTTTATTAAAATTTCTAAAGTCAATTTCTGGCAGCTTTACTGATAGGAAAGAAATATCATATCACAAGTGATTTCATTTCATAGCATTTTCATTATACAGTTCCCCCCACTATCTGAAAGTACAGAGTTTCTATGAAACTTTCTGTAAACCAAAGTGGTGCAAAGTGAAGAAGCAGTTACCTTAGGTCGTATCTTGCTGATGGATGCAGGGAATACATTGAGATGAGACAGAGGCTCACAGACTCAGTTCAGAACGATGGCAGCTTGATGCTGGGATGCTGTGTATAGTCCCAAGAAAGGAGCTGGGTGGTGGTACTCTGCTTGCTGGGATACCCACTGCCTCTGCAAAACAAACACTGAGCACTATTTTTACTTTTCACCTTTTTTCATAAAAGCAAAAATCCCCTGCGGATTTCTTGTGGTGAGCAAAAACAGGTACTGATGTAGCTCTTCTGCAAAAACAAGGTGGCATAAAGTGAACTTTTGAAAAGCAGAGATGCCTGTAATTGTATAAAGAATCTCAGAGACATTGCAAAGATTGCCTGTGATCACCCCACACTCTCGCAGGGCGAGAGGCAGAACCCTGAGTTTTATCATGTAAGCATTGGACCATATTTATATTTGGATTGTATAGAAATATAAATAAACACTTAATTATTTATATGTTTACATATATAAAAATAGATAGTGGCTCAAACAGCAAAGAATCTGCCTGCAATGCAGGAGGCCTGGGTTTGAACCCTGGGTTGAGAAGATTCCCTGCACAGGGCATAGGAAATGGCAACCCACTCCAGTGTTCTTGCCTGGGAAATTCCATGGACAGAGGAGCCTGGCGGGCTAATAGTCCATGGAGTTGCAAAGAATCGAACATGACTGGGTGACTTTCACCTCACTTCATTTTTGCATTTACTTCTAAATATGTTTGCATATCTATAGCTTCTAAATTTGCTTGCTATATGTATGTTTTATGACTTGGACATAAAACAGATTCTGTGCCTATTTCCCAAATCATCTGAGATTTTTTATTATCAATAAATGTGAGATGATAGGATAATGGACCAGATGAACCTCACAATGTCTCTTCTGGGCATGAGAATCTAAGAGCCATGTGTGTATATGATTTTGCTTGTACCAGATTTTCACTTTGTAAATAAGTCACTTTAATCATTTACTTGCAGAGGAAGAGAAGTATGCCTTTGTCAACTGGGTAAACAAAGCCCTGGAAAATGACCCCGATTGTCGGCACGTCATCCCAATGGATCCTAACACCAATGATCTCTTCAGTGCTGTTGGAGATGGCATCGTGCTTTGGTAAAAAACACTCCCTCCTGGTCTTGGCTTCCTAAAGTTTCCCTAGAATTTTCTGGAATACCCACCATTCGCTGTGTTGATCCTTTTAGGCTCACTTCTTTTGATGCTTAGCTGGACCTGATGCTTTTCTGGATTTTCATGTGGAAGGTCCAGGAGAGCAAACTGATTTCAAAAGCAATTTATGGGACTTCCCTGGTGGTCCAGCAGTTAGAACTTCCCCTTCCAATGCAGGGGGTGCGTGTTCAATCCCTGGTCAGGGAGCTAAAATCCCACATGCCTCTCAGTCAAAAAACCAAAATGTAAAGTAGAGGCAATACTGTAACAAATTCAATAAAAACTTAAAAATGGTCCACATTTTTTCTTAAAAGCAACTAATAATGAGAAATATAAAACTACTCTCACTTGGGTGGAGGAGAGGGAGGCATAGATCAGAGATAAACGTGAACGTAGGGCCATAGGAACACAGGTCAATGGCAATTACTTTTGGGTTCTATGCTATTTTTCTTCATCTGAGCACGGCCCGTCGTGAGAGTGCATAGAACTGAATAGGAAACAGCAGCATGATGATCGGAGCATCCAACGCCAGTCCTCAAACAGAGGGGCTACTGCCTGGTGCACACACGCTGAGGGCGCCTGGAAGAGGAGAGCTATGTTCTCTCCACGGGAGGCTCTCAGCGCTGCTGGTCAGTTCAGGATGGTGACTTTGAAAGAGCCGCTGTGGCTGTTGCTTTGGCAGCCTCTCTGTCATCGTGAGGCGTGGTGTAATTGAGGAGGTTTGAAATGCCTCGTCTCAGGTGGGCTCAGGAATTGAAGGAAAGGATGAGTGGGCAGGACTTTAACCGCTCACCCCCCATCCTTCGTCTGCTCTGACCAGAGCAATTGCATTTTATTTGTTAGAGTTCACTGTGAGATTTCATTTTTATAAAATTCAACTGTTAAAAAGACATCAAAAAACCTAGTGCACAGGATCAGGTCCTGACTCTTTCCACGGGTACCCTAGGCATCGCCTGGTCTTCCCTCAGTCTCCTAGTCCTACCTCCCAAGGCCTGCATGACTCAGGCCCCCCGTCCAGGGTACAGTGAAGGGTTCCACGAGTGACTGGCTGCACCAGCAGCCCTGCGCACCGTTCCCCATACACAGCCTGCTTACATCTTGCAACTCCGGCTTTGCCTTTAATTCTCCTTTTTAAGAATGCCCTTCCCCACCGTCTCCTCCTACACGAATCCATTTACTCCATGATTCCTCTATGAATCCAAGGTTTCTAGTCTGTTCCAACTCCTAGTGATTTCTCCCTTCACTGAATTTTTAAAGCACATATAGTTTGTAGTCCTTTGGGAGCCATTATAGTGTTCTGCTTTGGACTGTTAGCGTAGCTTTTGATACCCATATCTTTTGTCTTAAATTTGACTATAAGCTTTTCTTTTTAATAAATAAATGTTATTTATTTTTAAATAAGAAAATAAATATGTACAATAACTTTTACTTATAATAAAATAAATTTATTTATTTGGCTACACTGGGTCTTAGTTGCAGAACACAGGATCTTCAATCTTAGTTGGGGCACGCAGGCTCTTTTTAGTTGAGGCATGCAGTATCTAGTTCCCTGACCAGGGATCAAGCTCTGGCCCTATCCATTGGGAGCGTGGAGTCTTAGCCCCTGGACCACCAGGAGAGTCCCTCAACGATAAGCTTTTCAAAGGCAGGGATGTCTTTTTCTTTTCTAAGCCACGCTGCTCTGCTACCATCTCCCATAGCTTCTAGTTCACTATTAGTTTCATATTTTTCAAATAATGATTTAGGGGTTTGTTTTGCCTAAATTTCAGTAAAGTGCTTTTTATTTAAATAAAATACACACACACACACACACACACACACACACACGGCAAAGTTATAGAAATACGTATTTAAAGAACAACCACAAGAAAAGGTAGTTGCTTAAAAATTGTTAGGAAAGATGTCAATGCTAATTTCTTTTATTAAAAAAAAAAAGGAATAGTCACATTCAAGTTTATTACTCTTTGATTTTGTTGTTGTTCCTTTGGATTTTTTTCCCCCAACTTCTTTAAATAAGATGGAAGTGGCCAAAGAACTTTTATTTTTAATAACCTCACATAGGTTAAACCAATGCAAAGTGGATAAAATCAGTCTTTCATAATTAATAATTGCTTATTTTGAATGGCTGGTCAATATATTAGATACTTAAGTGGCAGACATTTCTAACATATGGACACTCTAATGATTACAGAAGATAATAAATCATTTCATCATGTGGTTAGTTGAAGGTATGCTGCTGCTGCTGCTAAGTCGTTTAGTCGTGTCCAACTCTGTGCGACCCCATAGATGGCAGCCCACCAGGCTCTGCCGTCCCTGGGATGTTGAAGGTATAGAGTTTGACCAGATTGCAAATAGAAATTTAGACATTATATACACTCAGATTGTGTATGGATAATCTTTTATATGGTGGGGGCAAGTCTCATGACTGAGAAAGAGAAGAACTCATGGAGAATTTGATCCACCCAGAATTTCCTAATTAAAGGAACCAGAATAATTTTTCAGCTTTTTGTTGAGTGGATGAAGTAGGATCCTTATTTCTTGCTTCACTGTATTAGTAAGACTTCAAGGAGGACGAACCTTTTCCACAGATAATTTGAATCTAGTTAAAATTGCATAACCGAATTTATATTTGAACATTGAGTAGAGCAGATTATGGTGCTGTCTTATCTGTTTATGGCATCACTAGAATTTAAATTCCATGTCATTAGGCTCTTTTATTTAGAAGCCTGCTTTCTTTCATTGTTTCTCTTTCAGTAAAATGATCAATCTGTCAGTGCCGGACACAATTGATGAGAGGACAATCAACAAAAAGAAACTCACCCCTTTCACCATTCAGGTACATCTTCCCTGTGTTACCTTAATTAATATAGTGTTGTGCTTAGAAGGAATGGGTCATCATCACTGCCAAGCCGGGCCTTTTCAGGTGTTCAAACATTATTCCTCCAACCCAGGCTCTGGGCTGGTCATCTGTCATGACCAGTGGGCACAGGGGAAAACATTTTTACTTCATCTTTTATTAATATAGTGGGGGTCGGTGGAGTTGGTGAGTGTTAGTTGTTGGGGGTAGAGTTTGTTTTGGCCACTTATGAATAAAATTCACACTGGCTCAAGTTTTAACTCAGACTTCCCCTGGCAATTTATCTTTGAGCTGATGCCAGATACACAGCATTTTATCTGAAAAGATTAGCCTTTCTAAGAAGTGAGGGGGTGAACACGGGAAGTGCTCCGGCAGCCTCCACAGTCGTGTCGGCCACAGCCACCAGTGTGATAAATATAACTTGTTTTTATGCCTTCGACTTGTTGATTAACTGGAACAGTGACTGGGAGTAAGTGAGCTGCATTTCTGTGCTGTGTTCCAGCATTTTAACATTATTGTGATCTTCTCGCTCGGAAGCCACGTCTCACTTTTTAAATCATGAACAATAGATGATGTCCTGTTTGGATTTAAGCAACCCTGTGTTCTTAAAAAATGGAAGCCATGATCGAAGCAAGAACTATGATTAAATGTATATGAAGGCACTTAGCGTCATATTTAATCTTGCTGTTACATTTTAGTCTTTGCCGTAACTGGACCCCATATTTTTTTACTTGTCGTTTGAGTTCTGTGTGTGTGTGTGCTTAGTCATTCAGTTGTGCCCGAATCTCTGTGACCCCATGGACTGTAGCCCACCAGGCTCCTCTGTCCATGGGATTTCCCAGGCAAGAATCCTGGAGTGGGTTGCCATTGCCTACTCCAGGGGATCTTCTCCACCCAGGGATCGAACCCACATCTCCTGCGTCTCCTGCATTGGCAGGCAGATTCTGTACCACGGAGCCACCTGGGAAGCCCTTTCTTCTGATAGTTTTCTTCCAANGGCAAGAATACTGGAGTGGGTTGCCATTGCCTACTCCAGGGGATCTTCTCCACCCAGGGATCGAACCCACATCTCCTGCGTCTCCTGCATTGGCAGGCAGATTCTGTACCACGGAGCCACCTGGGAAGCCCTTTCTTCTGATAGTTTTCTTCCAAATTCCCTGGTGGCCTGTGTTTTGTTTTGTTTTTAATTTATCATGAAAACAAGTTCTATACATCTTTGACTCTGATAAGTCCTGCTTTGCAGACCCAGAATAATAGTACGGTTGACCCTTGAACAGCATGAGGGTTGGGGTGTCCGCCCTCTGCTCCATCTGAAATCTGAATATTATTTACAGTCTGTGTTTCCTGTACTTGGTTCTTCCATGACCATGGTTCTTCATCTGTGGATTCGACCAGCCATGGGTCATGTAGTACTATAGTATTCGCTATATTTATACATTGGAGAAGGGAATGGCAACCCACTCCAGTATTCTTGCCTGGAGAATTCCATGGGCGGAGGAGCCTGGTGGGCCCTAGTCCGTGGGGTCGCAGAGTCAGACACCACTGAGTGATGAACACAATATTTATACATAGTGGGTCCATACACTTATGTGGGTCTGAGCAGCTCAGACCCATGGCTTTCCAGGTCAGCTATATAAAAACCCTGGATTGAAAACTCCATTGACCCTATTCCAACTGTATATGTGTCACCTTACATAGATTGTTATTAGTTTATAAGAACATATAATCTGTATGTATGTGGACAGGCATATGTGTATTTGTATATATGTTGTGTGTACTCAAGGACCCTAGATATTATGGATACTCTCAGTAAATTATCCTTGGAAAAACCACCATGTCTTTTCTAGGAAGTTGATTTGTATCTTTTTCATTCCTTCAATATCCAGTCTGCAAGTCAAAAAGCTATTTTGGTGTTCTCTTTTATGACCTCGATTTACATCAACAGCTGGGTTATTGACAATAACTGGTGACAAGGCAGTGGCTGTCCTCAAAGGTGCCGCTTTATTGCTGGCCGATGGAGATGCTGAGTGTGGAGGCGCCATCACAGAGCAGTGTGAAAAATAAGACTCATTAGTTTCATCCTCACCAGGGTGAGCTGCCTGATCCTAGGATCTAGGTTGCTAGATTTTCTCTTTCAGATATTCCTGCTTTTTTCCAATATTTAAGCCTAGTGAAGACAATGCCCCTAGACCTGTGAACTTTCCAGAATCGAAACACTGTTGCTTTGCCAATCAGTAATGATCATTTGGCATCTGCAAAGTCAAAAACAAAACTTGCATTATTTTTTCTCCTTCAGGAAAATTTGAACCTGGCTCTGAACTCTGCCTCAGCCATTGGGTGCCACGTGGTTAATATCGGCGCTGAGGACTTAAAGGAGGGGAAGCCTTACCTGGTCCTGGGGCTGTTGTGGCAGGTCATCAAGATCGGGTTATTTGCCGACATCGAGCTCAGCAGAAATGAAGGTACGAGCAAAGCCTCAAACGTGAATAACGGCCTGACTTTTTGTTAATGCCGATGTTGAAGGCTGTACAACTAACTGCCCAGAGCAAATGCCTTTCAAAGACCACAGACTAATAAGGAGGCTTGTTTAGAACCTGTAGCTCTGTCTAGCTGTCTGGGACTCCAACCTCAAGAGCTTTTCTGAGTTCACTTTGCCTTTAGATACTTTGTAACAAATTAGGCTATTTTAAACTTGGATTTTACAAAGCGATTTGCATTCATATACTGCAGTGATAGTACCAGATTAGGAGCAATGCAATCTCTTTTTTTTTACCAAGATTATAGGAAATTACATTTAGGGTTTCAGAGCTCTCAACCAAATATTGTAGCTGTCAGTCTTACTCCATCTGCTGTCAGCATCGTAAGTGTTTCAACAATTCAGCCTGTCCCTTGGACAGCAGTAGTAGACCTTGACAAATATCAATAATCGGTACACTGTTACCTTTCATTTTTCCTGTGTAGACCCTACTAATATGAAATCTGTAGCCAGATTCTGGCCTTTAGTTATACATACATTTTATTAACATGTCCAAATCAAAATACCCAGGGAAGACTTCTGGGGTACCATTTGAAAACCAGTGTGTTATATTAAACAGAATATAAAGAATAAAAAAGCAAATAGGGAAACTTAGAACACATTAGAAAGAATATTGATTTGCAAATAATGACCTCAGCTAAATTTAGACCTTCTCGCTGAACTAAAGTGATTTAATTCATCCGGGAAACACAGAGGAAAGAGTTAATTGCACTTTTTGACTTGCTGTCATTATGCAGGTAAGCATTTGAAATATAAAACACCTATGAAAATAAACAAGAGGACATTGTCGTTATCACAAAATTGATCTCTTAAAAGTAGAAATGTTGTCGTATCATGAAATGTGTTCTAACAGACCCAGCAGAGTATTCCGAGTCGATAGGCTTGATTATTTCTGCAGTTCTGCCCCTGTTTTCTTAGGCATAGTGCTGACATTCACTGGTGTCATGCCTTCTCCACCCATAGAGGCTTCCCTGGTGGGCTCAGATGGTAAAGAATCTGTCTGCAATTCTTCAGGAGACCCAGATTCGAGCCATGGGTCGGGAAGATCCTCTGGAGAAGGGAATGACTACCCCTTCCAGTATTCTTGCCTGGAGTATTCCATGGACAGTCCATGATATTGCAAAGAGTCAGACACGACTGAGCAATTCACAGTTTCAGTTTCTTCTCCACCCCCAAAATGGGGATAATAAATAGGCTCATAATACCTTACACCTCTTTTTAGGGAATAATACTAAGATGTTTATTCCATGGGCAAGGCCACACATCCCTTTATCCCAGAGATGTAGCTTGGTACCTTGCCTTCCCAGCAGGGCTCAGTTTAAGTTGTCACTAATCCCCCACCCCCAATCCCCTGCATTTATTTAAGTTGTCACTGATCCCCCCCCAAGTATCCCCTGCGTTCATTTCTCCCCGCTCTTTGTGTTTCTTAGCGCTGGCTGCTCTTCTGAGAGAAGGGGAGAGCCTGGAGGACCTGATGAAACTCTCTCCGGAGGAGCTCCTGCTGAGATGGGCTAACTACCACCTGGAAAATGCAGGCTGCAACAAAATCAACAACTTCAGCAGCGACATCAAGGTAGGAGGACTGGAGTTGGAAGGTGACTAAAGCCACAGCAGTGGAGGGGATACGGGCGTTCATGGAGACAGATGAAGACACGGGCTTCATCTCTTCAGGAGTCCTAGGGCTCGCGGGAGTGGCTGGCGCTGCTTTGGAGCCTGAGCTGTTCTCAGGGCCACGTGCAGCCCCAGCTCTGGGCCACGTACAGATCTGTCCGAGGCGCTAGTAGCTGCATGGCACCAAACGTGATGGGTGTTCTCTAGAGTTTCAGCATCCTGATACAGAGGGATGAGGGTGAAATAGACAAAGGGCAAGAGAAAAGACTGATTTTCAGGTGAAGAGAGTCTCCATAGGATTCTAATGTTGTTCTGATTTTGTCAATGGGAGCATCAGATGGGGATTCCTTTCCAAAGAAAATCAAGCCAGGATTACTCTTCTAATTACATTTGATCATAGCAAAGACTGCATGCCAGGTACCGTTCTAACTGCCTTATGCATGTATCGACTCCTCTAATCCTCATGACACATCTTTGAGATAAGGGTTATTCTTTGCTCATTTTGCAGGCAAGGAAACCAAGGTAAAGAGAATATAAGGAACTTGTTCAAGTTCACAGAGCTGGAGAATGGGGCCCAGGCTCCAGTTGAGCAGTCGATCTCCATGGTCCTTGACCACCATACACAGTGCTCCTCTAAAAACAATTTGTAAACTTCTTGAAAGTTTTGCATTTGTAGAAACCAGAGTGATACTGTAAAGATAATGATTCTGGAAACTGTCTGCAATGAGAGTTAACCCCAGAAAATGTAGAAGACACAAGTAGTCCTACAACAGGGATCCAAAGGTTGAAAAGCTAAGGAAACATGCCTCGTGGTTTGCAAGTTTGTGAAAAGTTCCATGTCAGTGTTGTTGGCACTGATGACAGATATATCCAGATAGAAAGAGCTTAAGGAGCAGGAAGGAATGTCAGTCCCCACTAGGAAATGGTATGAGATGCTGGTGTGCGACATGAGGAAAATAATTCAGTCTTCCACTTTCTCAAAAGTTAAAAAAAGACATTTTCTCCAAAGAGGAAGAGTCAGAGGAAAGGTCACATGATTCACTGAGAGTCAACTCCAGCTTTTAATTCTTGAGTGACAGCTTCCCTCCTTGTCTGGCTTTTAGAATTCAAGGTCTGCCAGGCACAGTACCAGTTAGAGCAAAGCTTCTAGATGGAAAGTCCCCCATTCCTTAGGACATCAGCTAGTGATGCCGTTTGTTTTTTCTAACTACACAGTTTCATTGGTTATTCACATTCTTCTGGCATGAGCAGCCAGCCTAGAATTTAACAGGAGTTGGACGGCATCATCTCCCTCCACACTCAACAGTTAGACTTGGCCATTATTTCAGCCACACTTTTCAGACAAAATTAGGATGCTTAGTCTGAGCCATAAATGTACCTGATTTCCTGTGACTGAAAGGCTGTGTTCTTTAGAACATGAGACAGGAGCTGGCAGGCTGAGCACAGGTAGAGGGGAGCAGCTGCATCACCACCGAGGTCAGTGCTGAGACGAAGAAGTCAGCATCTGGCAACTTGAGGGGATGCCTTTAAATCACACCAAGTCAGCAAAGGAGGGGAAGACACCCACCACAGAGTGAGTGAAACAGGTTTCTTAGGGTCTCGTGCGATGAGATGACTCGTAGCAAAGCTCAACAGATGTGACATGTGACATGCAGATTTTATTCATGCCTAACATCTGCATGGAGAGCTTCCCTGGTGGCTCAGATGGTAAAGAACCCGCCTGCCAATGCAGGAGACCTGGGTTCAATCCCCAGGTCAGGAAGATTCCCCTGGAGAAGGAAATGGCAACCCACTCCAATATTCTTGCCTGGAAAATCCCAAGGACAGAGGAGCCTGGTGGGCTACAGTCCATGGCATTGCAAGGGTGGGACACGACTTAAAGACTAAACAACAAAACAGCTGCATGGAACTTTCACTGACTTTGAAACAGCTATAGCAGAAAGTTAGAGAAGGGGAGGGTAGAAAGGAGAGATGCAAATCTGGTTCCCGGATGCAGCATCTGTGCCTGGCACTGTCTCTTCTCATCTTTCTAAGGTCACAGGGGTGAGCGTACCTCTGGCCTAAAACTGGCTCTACCCAGTTTTGAAAAACAAACAGAGAAACAGCTGAGTGTTTGATCGTTAAGAGAAATTAAGATGTCTTTCAGTAATTCAAATAATAAATTACCTGAAAATTTGTATGCTTTCATTGAATGACAAACTTTGACTGTGATTCAGAAAATTTCTTGTCAATAAACCTATTTCCAGAATCTAAAAAAACATGAGAATTCAATATCTATATCCTCTCTGAGATAACTAAATTTAATCACTTTTTCTAGCTTCTTGATCAATATTAAGTGCACTTAATATTTCTCCTTTGGCATAAAGACTGCTTGTGAATGCTTCAATTTTTTGTCTTTGAAATCTTTTTCTTTTGCTGATTGTCCATTTAAATGTATTTTTAAACTCTGCTTTAAACTTCTGCTTCCTTTTTCTGTCACTTTTTTTTTAAATTAAACCTTAGCTGACTGACTTCTACAGCAATATAAAGGTATATATATTTTCCTGTATACAATTTAATACATGTAAATAGATTATTTTCTCCCCTGAGGGCAGCAGAATAGTATTTGCTTCTTGGGTTGCCTTTTATGTATGTCCTGTATTTTCAACTGTTATACTTCTTTTAAAAAGAAAGGCAAAAAAATATAATATGTAAAGGACAAGTGGAAAATTAAAATTAGTGAATGTTCCCAGTTTTGTTAATTAAGTTGCATTCTTGAATGATAGTTGGATAAGAAATGAAATATGTTTGCTTTGGGGAAATTATTGTTGTGCTAAGTGTGTAATTAGCTATGCCATCTTGAAATTGTAATTTCCTCATTTCTCACAGGACTCGAAAGCTTATTACCACCTGCTTGAACAGGTGGCTCCAAAAGGAGATGAAGAAGGTATTCCTGCTGTTGTTATTGACATGTCAGGACTGAGGGTAAGTCCACACCCCAAGTCGTGTTTCGATGCCATTGTTCCTCTACATTGCCGGTTCCATTGCCCTGCGTGGTGCTGGCTCCAGAGGTCCATGAGTGGGCATCTCTGCTTAGAGCCCTGTTAAATTTTTAAAACCTGTTAACAGTTTGGGGTAGTAATTGTGGAAAATTGAATCTGGAAATAAACATTAAGCACAGAGAGGAGTGGAGTCCATGAATCGCAACGAAAGGTCCTGAATCCCACCGTGTGGTTCTTACACACCGCAACCAGGACCCAGCTAGGCCAAAGAGTAAACATTTTAAAAAAGAAATCTTAAAGAAAAAAAACTCATTCCTGAATGAGAAGTAAAGCATCTGAAATATGTAATCTATAGTATTAACTAGTAAAGCATCATAGTAAGAGATAATCCCAGTCTTATTAAGTTCTAGTTGTCTGAAAATTAGTGCTTTCATAGATTTTTAAGAGCATCAAAAGGCAGTGAACTGTATTTCCACAAAACTTAAGTCTTCTATTAAGAGGCTGCTTATAAATGACTAGAAATTCTCTAGTCCGATTTGAATAGACTTTTAAAATGTTAAGGAGTGATGTTCAATCTGAAGTCTGCAAAGCCAAATTGGTATTATATATTTATCAGTGACACTATGTAGGTTAAATTTTATCTTGTCAGAGTTGCAGGTACACCAGCTGAATGTGGGTAAAGAAGTTAAACTAATCAGAAGCTCTTGTTTGCAGATGTAAATATTTTTAATGAACGAAAAATAAGTGTAATTTACTATTTAATAAATGAACTTTTGGTGAAGTCTGTGCAAGAAGATTGCCTGGAGAAGGGAATGGCTACCCACTCCAGTGTTCTTGCCTGGAGAATCCCAGGGACAGAGGAGCCTGGTGGGCTACAGTGCATGGGGTTTCAAAGAGTCGGGCTCGACTGAGTGACTGCTATGCCAGAAGATAATAAAAAGAAAGCCTAATGGCTGAAAATAATTAAGATCAACTTAAATGACAAAATTGTAGAATCTATTGCGTCTCTTTAAAAACGAGACAACCAACCATTCATCTGAAATGGTCCTGCTCTGTATAAAGATAGGAGGACTCGATTAATTAAGTCGATCTGCCTCTTACTTGAAACTCTATTTGTGTGTGTGTATGTGTCTTAGTCACTCAGTCATGTCTGAATCTCTGTGACCCCATGAACTGTAGCCCAGCAGGCTCCTCTGTCCACGGGAGGATACTGGAGTGTGTAGCCAGTCCCTTCTCCAGGGGATCTTCCCGACCCAGGGATAAAGCCTGGGTCTCCCACATTGCAGGCAGATTATTTACTGCCTGAGCCACCAGTGAAGCCCTCTTCTGACTTGGGTCCAGGCAAACAGAAGGAATGATTTGCTGCTATTGGGGGTCTCCTTGAGGTCGAACACTGAGGGTTGCGGTAAGATGCCCATCTCTTTTCCACGTTACCTGTCTCTGCTTTGCGTCCGGAGAAGCTCTGACCCAGCCTTGAGATGGTTGTCCTTTTCCATCGCAGGAGAAGGACGACATCCAGAGGGCAGAATGCATGTTGCAGCAGGCGGAGAGGCTGGGCTGCCGCCAGTTTGTCACAGCCACGGATGTTGTCCGAGGGAACCCCAAGCTGAACTTGGCTTTTATTGCCAACCTCTTTAACAAATACCCTGCCCTGCACAAGCCTGAGAACCAGGACATCGACTGGGGGGCTCTTGAAGGTAACTGGAAACCAGTTGCGTAAATGTTCTGAGAAGCAGTCACAGTTCTAATTCAAGAGTAATTAGAATCACCTCCTAAGCAAACATAAGCCCCTCATGTGGGAGATTTGCAAACAGGTCATCAATTCTCTGGTACCTAACAAAGAGAATAAATAGATTAATCAAGTCAATTACAGCCAAGGAGGAATAATCAACTACCATTCTATCGCATCCATTATACATGGGCTTCATCCATTATCAGAATTAAATGTTTTAGGGAAGACAGTGCATTTAATTATCGGATGAAATAAATCCTGAGTTCCAAAAGCCTAATTTATGTACTTAATGGACTGAGTGTTAATTCCTAGAGGCAAGAAATTGCAGCCACTTATCATCTAAAAATGATATTTAACTTATACTAAGAGGTGCTTACTGAGGTTTTTGTTTTGTCTCTGATTTGGAGGTCATGGAATAATATTTTGAGGCAAAATCCATGACAATTATATTTAGGGGGTTAATGCCCTAAACCTAGACAAAAGTCACATAGCTTTTAGTCAGGTTCTAATAGGTGAAGTTGCCAGAGATGTTTTTCTCTTTTTTTCCCATTGTGAATGAGTCCCAATATTGAGACAGAAAAATCAATACAAGAATAATAATAAGTGAATATCCCCAAAGAAAGGAAATCTACATTTTAAAGAATTGGTTAATCCTTTTCTACAATGCTTTACCCCAGCCGGAAATGCTGAGTCAATCCACGTTCCAACACTGCATTTGTATGATTTTGATGTATGGTGGTCAGGGGTCCGTGCATTCTGTTGACTACCAAGTCTATATGTCAAGCCCTCTCATCACCCATTTCCAGCTGCTTCTAGATCATCTACATTTGGGTCTGTCACTGTCACTTGAAATTCAGCATATTGATCAGAATTGATCAATAGGAAAAGCAGGATCGATCATTTCCCCCCTCCTGTATTGCCTCTCTACCCACCCCGCAACCTCCCATCCCATCCACTCTCCTTTAGAAATTCTCCATTTCCATGAATCATACCACATTTTTCTCTCTTCAGTCACCAAAACCCTGGGTTCCACTTTGATATCTTCCTCTCCTTCGCCCCTAAATCTTCTTGAATCAGCAAATACTAATAATTCTTCCCACAGAATGACTTTTAGATTGTTATTTTTCCTTCCTGCTCTTCTAGACTCTTACTAAATCATACACCAACTGTTTCAATAGGTCTTAGGGGCCTAGCCCTCCATCCATCAAGCACTTGAATGTGCCCATGCGCTGGTGTCAAACACTCTCCCCTCTGTGTTTAATTTAAATGCATATTGCCTTTCAGTAATTCTGCGCACTGCTGCCAAACACATCATAGTACTGCTTTCATTATAACTCTGCCTTGCTCAAGAATTTATTATAGTAATTAAAAAAGAACCCATAATGACTGTCATTGTCTAATATATCAACCAAAATCTGCTACCTGGCATCCAAAGATCCCGGATTCTGGTTCCAGCCACTAGACAGCCTTATTGGTGTGGACTGTACTACACAGATATCTGAAAAATCAGTTTCTAACGGTCTTGATACAGACCTTGACTGTCATTCCCTTTGTGTTCATATTTACATAATCTCCTACCCCGTCCTCCTTACTTGTCCCCCCAAATCCTCTCCTATTCCCTCTTTACCATCCAGATTTTACTAGCCCTCTAAGGTAAAGCTCAAATTGCACTGCCTCCAAATGTAGCCTGTACAATTCTCTCCTTTATCTCAACTCAAATATAAATATCCACCTCATATGGTAGCCCTCTAGCGTGCATGATCCCTCTTTGATTCTCAACACACATATTCTTCCAGAAAGAATGTAAGCCTTTGAGGGACAGCCCTGAACAGTTTCCCCGCATGGGCTGTTGCACGCTGTTAATACTCATAGATGCTGTTCTCATTGAATTGAAATGGAAAAACAATTAATGCAGAATAACAACCCCCATTCAAATCCTTTAGGGTTTTTTTTTTATCCTACTTTCAGTGTTTGTGACCACTGCTTTAGTTAAACTTTGATCATAAAAAAGCATATTTTCTTGGTGCCTGAAAGATAACTAGTCTTCATTCATTTAGGTGAGACGAGAGAAGAAAGGACGTTTAGGAACTGGATGAACTCCTTGGGTGTAAACCCACGAGTCAACCACTTGTACAGGTAAGAATGCTGAGGGCCTCTTCCTGAAATACGAGGTACCAAGACCTATGAAGATGCCCAAGGTTTCAAATATCACTCTGGTGTGCAGTTCTCTCCAAAAAATGTGCGCACCTCAGTGAGAAGGGGGGAGACGCCAAACTGAGCAGCAGGTATTAAGAAACTCACGTCCATACACCAACCTTGCTATGTGTTTAGTTCAGTAAGTCCCCTACATACGAATGAGTTCTGTTCAGAGAAGGTGTTCGTAAGTCCATTTTGTTCAAAAGTCCAACAAAGTTAGCCTAGGTGACCAACTAACGCAATCGGCTATATGGTACGGTACTGTAATAGGTTTATAATACTTTCCACACAAATAATACATTGAAAACAAACACAAAAATAAAGAAAAACATTTTAAATCTTACAGTACCTTGGGAAATATTGTGGTACAGTGCAAAAGCTGGCACGCAGGGGCTGGCATCAAGTGGACAGGCAAGAAATAAAAATACTGTACTCTATATGCGCATCCTGTGTGCATGTTCAGTCACTCAGTCGTGTCTGACTCTTTGTTACCCCATGGACTGTAGCCCGCCAGGCTCCTCTGTCCATGGCATTTCACAGGCAAGAATACTGGAGTGGGTTGCCATTTCTTTCTCCAGAGGATCTTCCCAACCCAGGGATCGAACCCACATCTCCTACATTGGCAGGTGGATTCTTTACCACTGAGCCACCAGGAAAACCTGTGAAGGAAAGTACACAGAAGCATAGCCACTTGTAGGGGGTGCAGGCACATGCAATGTATGCCAGACGTGTGCCCCAGCTTATGTGATTGGACATGCAAACATACATTTGTGTCTTTGAAAGTTTGCAACTTGGAGGTTCATGTGTTGGGGACTTACTGTACAAAAATAAAAAAAAATAATCCAGCAGCAAAAGAACAAATTGACTTTATGGTATACCCAAGATCTGCTCACAAGCAGGCCAAACAGTAAATGTTCAGTCTGTGGGCGTGTCTCCAATGCCCTTTGTTGGAGCTGTTTATTTTTCTGGAGAATGTATGCTTCTGCTGAAGAGGCATTTGTGGTCACATCTGGAGGACACTTCTAGGAAGCTCCCTCCCTTTCTCTGAGTCAGAATTTCTTCCCCTCTAAAGATGAAGTGACTGATACCAATGTGGCCAAGTTGCTGGGAATGTTCCTGGAACTCACGTAGGAAGAACTGCCCGGCCTGCTCCAGGCCCTTCATAAATGTTGGGTATCTGAGAATTCTTTTGTGTTTGTCTTCATCCAGTGACTTATCAGATGCCCTGGTCATCTTCCAGCTCTATGAAAAGATTAAAGTCCCTGTTGATTGGAACAGAGTAAACAAACCACCATACCCCAAACTGGGGGGTAACATGAAGAAGGTAAATGATGACTCTTGTGAGGTTCTGGTCGTCAGGTGAAGTCATAAGCCCACAAGAGCACCGTGTGAATACTTTTATCAGGAAGGCAAGCTCAGATCAGAAATGCTTATCTGGGGATTAACTTAAGAGTACAGCAATCAGAAACCTGAGTGGTTTTTATTAAAGGGAGTTCATTATTTCAGTTGATTGCTTATTTATAATTCTGTGTTGGATGTCTTTAAGCGTCATGATGTAAAAATTCTAATTAAGATAATTAGAGCAAGCAGAGCTGCGGGGTGCCTTTCCCTCCAGCAAGATCGTCATTCTAATTTTCTAAAGGATCGAAACCTGTGCTAAGAGTTTGACATGTACAAATAGTATGTCTAGTGAGAACACATTGTTTTGTAAGAGCAGCCACAACCACGGGAGTGGCGCGAACACTTCCCACCATTTATCTTCCCTGTGACCCAGTAATCCATGAATCGTAGCCACGGGAACACCCATCCCATATGTCGGTCCACTGTGTGCTTACAGGGTCTGGATTTTCCAGGTCAATCTCTACAAATTCAACTATCTTAGGGGTATTATAGACAGGTTATTTACTATGGCTTTCTAGTTATGTCATGGGATAGAGCCATGAAAATGGTCATCATAATAACTCATTTTGGCTTTACACCTGGTACACTATGAGTATTTTTTTTTTCTTTTGATGAAAGTGAGGGGTTCTGTTTAAGAAAAGGTGGAAATAAGTAAATAAGACTTGCCCGCTGGTCCAGTGGTTAAGACGCCAAGCTCCCATTGCAGGGGGTCTGGGGTTTCAATCCTGGTTGGGAAACCAGATCCTGCATGCTGCAACTGAGACCCGGCGCAGCCAAATAAATTTTTTTTTAAAGATGGAAAATTATTTGACTAATTTAGAATCCTAGAATTGCAGAACTAGAGACTTGAGAGATTATTCAATCTGACCTTATTATTTCATTTTGTGTCTATTTTTATCATCTTACTTCTTTTGGTATTTATCATCAAAGAGATGATGACATTAGATTGTTTCCTTTCCTGCTCATTAACAGCTTGAGAATTGTAACTATGCAGTGGAACTGGGGAAGAATCAAGCAAAGTTCTCCCTGGTTGGCATTGGTGGACAAGATCTCAATGAAGGAAACCGCACCCTAACGTTGGCCTTGGTCTGGCAGTTAATGAGAAGGTAATACAGCTCAGGGTAATGGCATTTTATTGAACATATTCTTTATTTTTAAAATTATATTTATTTATTTTTTATTAATTGATGATTGCTTTACAGTATTGGTTTGATTGAATGTATTTTTTAATCTGGAAAAGTACCAGCAAATTTCAGGAATGTGATTTAATCCAGTAAAACTATATTTTAAGCTAAGCTTAAACCCAAAGGAATGTTGTGGGGGGCTGGGCGTGTCCTGTTTTTTTGTTTGTTTGTTTTTTCTTTCATTTCTATCAGTTTTGTTTCAGGTACTTTGAAATTCTGTTGTCAAGTTCATCAGTATTTTAGGTTGTTCTGTTTTCTTAATGAATCACTCTTTTTCATGCGGAGTGACCCTCTATGCTTGATGATACTCTTTTTCTCTAAAAGCTATTTTTCCAGATAGTAGTACAGCTTCTTGATTAGTTTTAACATGATATGTTTCTCCCCCATCCTCTTTTAACTGACTGATGTAAATACAGTCACTTATCCTTTAAAGGGACTTTCAAAATAAGAGGGGAAATATGCTATATTTACCTATATATCTGTCATTTTGGGTGCTTTTCTTTTCCTGGTATAGATCCAGATTTCTATCTGATACCATTTGATTTCTACTTGAAATATTTCTAGTGGTGCAGATCTGTTGGCAAGGAATTATTTCAGCTTCTATATGTCTGATAAAGTCTTTATTTCATTTTTGCATGGTATTTTATCTGAGTGTAGAATTCTAGGTTAATAGTTTTTTCTTTCATTATTTTGAAGATAGTGTTCACTGTGTTCTAGCTTGCATTGTTTCCAATGATAAATCTATTGTATTTCTTATCTTTGTTCCTCAGTCCTTAGTCGCTTCAGTTGGGTCTGACTACTTTCAACCCTGTGGACCATGGCCTGCCAGGCTCCTCTGGCCATGGGAGTCTCCAGGCAAGAATACTGGAGTGGGTTGCCGTTAACTTCTCCATTGTTCCTGTGTAGGTCATGTCTTTTCTTTTCTGGCTTCTTTCAAGAGTTTCTTTTAATCACTGGTTTTAAGTAGTTTGATTATGATGTCCTTTGGTGTTTTTTGTACTTGAGGTCTGTTGAGCTTCTTGCATCTGTGGGTTTACAATTTTCATCAAAATTTGTAAAATGTTGGCCTTTATTTATTCAAATTTGACTCCTATACCCACCCACCCTAGTTTTTCAGGACCTTTAAGTATTTGATCATTGAAGTTGTCCCAGAATTCATTGATGCTCAGATCATCTTTTTCCTTTACGTTTCATTTTTCTTCTCTCTTTCACTTGGGATAATTTCTATTGCCTTGTCTTAAATTCACTACTCTTCTACAATGTCTACCATTAATTCCATTTGGTGTATATATTTTTCATCTCAGACTTTATAGTGTTCATGTATAGAAATTTGATTTAGGTCTTTTTGACATCTCATATATCTCTTTCCTTAACCTTCTTGAGCATATAGAATATAAGTACAATAACTGCTATTTCTGTTTCTATTTATTGATTTTTAACCTCACTATGGGTCATACTTCCTTGCTTCCTGGAATGCCTACTGATTTTTCACCGTATGTAAGGCATTGTGAATTTTACCTTGCCGTTTGCTAGATATTTCTGTATTCCTTTAAATATTCTTGGAATTTTGTCCTGGGATGCAGTTCAGTTCAGTTCAGTTCAGTTCAGTTGCTCAGTCGTGTCCAACTCTTTGCAACCCCGTGAACTGCAGCACGCCAGGCCTCCCTGTCCATCACCAACTACTGGAGTCTACCCAAACCCATGCCCATTGAGTCAGTGATGCCATCCAACCATCTCATCCTCTGTCATCTTCTTCTCCTCCTGCCCTCAATCTTTCCCAGCATCAGGGTCTTTTCAAATGAGTCAGCTCTTCGCATCAGGTGGCCAAAGTATTGGAGTTTCAGCTTCAACACCAGTCCTTCCAATGAACACCCAGGACTGATCTCCTTTAGGATGGACTGGTGGGATGCAGTTACGTTACTTATACACAATATGATCCTTTGGGGGCTTACTTAAAATCTTAATTAATCTGGAGCTAATTTTGCCTCTCAATACTGAGATAATCTCATCTGAGTACTTTACTTGATGCTCCATATATCATGAGATTTGTCTACTCTGACTGGTGGCAGCCAGATGTATCCCACGCTTGTGTGAACTCCAAGGATTGCTCTGCCCATTCATTTCTGCAAGTTCTTTTTCCAGCTTCAGTGTAATTTGCTCAAATGCATGCACCAAGTAGCACTCTGCTAAGCACTCGAGGTAGACCTTCTGAAGATCTCTGGAGCTTTTGTTCTCGGTGATTCTGCTCTCTAGGCAGCTCTCTTCTCTCTGCTGTTTCGCCACACACATTCTAGCACCGTGGCTTCCTCGAGTTCTCAACCCTGTCCCGTCAGCTCATCGAGGCTGTCATGCTCTGTTTGAGTTCTCCTGCCCTGCACTGCAGCCTGGGAATTCTCTGTGCAATAAGCTGGGACGATCTTAGGGCTCACCACATTTGTTTTCCTTCTCTCAGGGACCGCTGTTTTGTGCTTCCTGTTGTCCAAAGTCTAGACAACACCATTTTATATTTTTTCATTCTATTTTATGTGTTTAAGGCAGAAGGGTCAGTCTGGTTCCTATTATTCCATCATGACCAGAAGCAGAATTTCCTGCTATTTCTATAACAGAGAACTTTAAATACCTTTTAGTTGTTGTTCAGTCGCTCAGGCGTGTCTTTGCAACCCCATGGACTGCAGCACGCCGGGCTCCCCTGTCCTTCACTGTCTCCTGGAGTTCACTCAAACTCATGTGCATACCTTTTAGAGCCAAATATAAATTTGATTAATGTGAGAGCTCTGTGGATAAATTATTTAATCAATAGTAGAACATAATAAGATACACAAATGGAAGATAAATGATGAGAAAAGTAAACAATTTTTGGTATAAAAGCATGAGCCTGGGAAGAATTCTAGATAGTAAAGCTGTAAGCATTAACTAGTTCACTTTTACATGCTTTGCTCTTTGCCTCCTGTACTGATAGCCCTGAGCAGGCAGAAGTCTTCCATTCCTTAATTAGAACCTATGTTAGAGTGACTTAATTCATATTTCTACCTGGAAGGAAGCCCCAGAAACCATATGTCACATTACATTATATCTAACAAGGTAATGGCAGAGACAAGGTTTGTCATTTCCTGAAGCACAGAAGCTCTATTCCCAGGCCACTGTCTGCAGGTCCTAATATCTATAATGGTCCTCAGAGTACTTATGTCAGTGTTCCCAGGTGATGGAGGGTGATCAGCAGTGATCATAATCACTACCTGATTTACATTTGCTTTATCAAGTATGATGTTCCATTACCCTCTTCTCAACTGGGATCTCTTTAATGATCAAAGGCGGATGTCATAGGCTTCTCTGGCACAGAGAACACCAGAGCTAAAGCAGCTTTAACTCTAGTCCCTGTTATACTGCCTGCATCTAGAACATTGCTGAAAATTCCGAAGAGCTGTTCTTACCAGTGTATTTTCAGAAAAGCCTTCTGAACTCCCCACTATTTTATTTCCTGTGTATGTTTAATTCTTAACAGAATGGCTTTTGGCACTGATTGCTTTGAAAATCAAAGTCTTTCTAGTTGTCACAGTTAAATTGACTCTTGGGTCTGAAGATGAAAGCATCTTTGATATTTTGTTTTAGTGACTTAAAAAAATACTCAGACCAACTCTATTCTATTTTGAATTTCATAATATTTGAAAATCACCTTGTAATATGATCTTTGTTCTGAAAGTTTTATAAAAATGTGATCCAACATCACAGTTTAAGGCTGGTATATATTTGACAAGGGCTAGTTTGAGCTGAGTCTCTTCATGGTTAATAAGTCCTATTTCTCATTCTTTACTGTACAAAAATTGAGGGGACTTCCCTGGTGGTTCAGTGGTTAAGACTCCAAGCTGCCAATGCTTGGGGCACAATTTGATCCCTGTCAGGAAACTAAGATCCCACATGCTGTGTGGCATGGTCAAAGATTAAAAAATAATAATTTCCTATAAGAAAATGGATAGAAAATTCCTTACTGTTGATGGTGATGAAATGACTGATAATTACGTAAATTCCAGCAGAAGGGGATTTTTTTCTTTCTCTGTGTGCCACATATTAACAGATCTAATAAATTTAGAGCCAGTTCTAGCTGAAATTTATTTCACTGGTTTGCACAGATGTGTTAATTTGGTCATTTATCTGGACAATAAATGGCATGTCATTTTTCCCCCTAAAAACAAATGAGAGCCTAAACCTCCCTTTCCCCCTCGGTAGCTTGGAAATTGGTCTCAGATTGGAAAGCTGGCAGATTGCATGTGTATAAATTTGGAGACAAAAGCCTGAGGCAAGAAGACTGCCAGCAGACAGCAACAGTAGACTCCAGCAAAGGAAGGCGAGTCTGTGGCAGGCAAAGGAGGGAATTCTCTCCAAATCAAATAGGCTGTGGACAGTGAATTGGGGATAGGTCTGTGAAAAACAGAGCAGCTAGGGTCACTTAGGGCCCCTCAGGGTCACATATTATATAAATAAAACCACGAGTTTGATGGCAGGAAAGCACGAAAGTCATAATTGCAGCCCCTTCAGGCCCACATCCCATCCATCCCCTGCTGTTGGATGAGGCCCAGCTGGGACTCATGGGGCCATTTCATTTTTTTAATCTTTATTGGAGTATAATTGCTTTACAGTTGTATTAGTTTCTAGTATACAACAAAGTGAATCAACAATTCATGCACGCAATTCAATCAACATGCATGCACGTGTACATGCATGTACGTGCTCAATCTCTCAAGTTGAGTTTGACTTTTTGCAACCCCATGGACTGTGGCCCGCCAGGGTCCTCTGTCCATGGGATTTTCCAAGCAAGAATGCTGGAGTGGGTTGCCATTTCCTCCTCCCAAGGATCTTCCCAACCCAGAGATTTGAACCCACATCTCTTATGTCTTCTGCATTGGCAGGCGGATTCTTTACCACTGAGCCACCAAGGAAGCACCCCCCCCCCAATTTTACTTTTTGGTAAAGAAAAGTTGCAGAAGCTCTTTTCCTACCCATCACCAATGATGGGGAAGTGCTTTCATCTGAAGAAAGTGGGTCATTACTCCTTTTTCAGAGATAACACTTGAAAATCATGGTGTTTTCCACAGAAGCAGTAACTGGAGGGGGATACCCGATGGGTTATGTAAGCAAAACCCCGGGCGGAGGGTGACCTCATTTAGGGAGGCCCTCCAGACAGACCAGAGACTTGAATTTCAGTTTGGACGATGCACGCTGAAACCCTAGTCTTTTGTGGGTAATTTGACCACCTCCCCCTCACCCTTAACAAGACTGAACCATGAGGCCAGCCGACCTGCCCACTTGCTCACTGCTTGCCTCTCTATTTCCCTTTTAAGAGGGATCAGCTTGGGGAATGGTGAGTTTTCTCCGCTCCCTGGAATTTTAAGAGCTTGAAGCATTCTAACGTTCCCCACCACCACACTTCTCATAATCGTGTGTCTCAAAGGCGGTTCTTACTCTCAAACTAGAGATTAACTAGAGATTAATTTCTACTTCTGTCTTATACTGATGAGACTTTTATGTTTTTTCTTTGTTATGTTAGCTGGTTGGGCTTTTCTTTTTTTATTGACCTATAGCTGATTTACAACGTTGTGTTAATTTCTGCCGTACAGCAAACTGATTCAGGTATACATGCATATGCATATATATATATGTATATTTATACATTCTTTTTCATATTTTTCCCATTATGGTTTGTCGCAGGATGTTGAATACAGTTCATTGTGCTATACAGTAGGACCTTGTTGTTTATCCATTCTATAATTAACAATTTGTATCTGCTAACCCCAAATACTTCCAATACGTCCCTTCCCCACGTTTTTCCCCCTTGGCAGACGGAAGTCTATTCGCTGCATCTGTGAATCTGTTTCTGTTTTGTAGATAGGTTCATTCGCGTCATATTTTAGATTCCACATATAAGTGATATCATGTGGTGTTTGTGTTTCTCTTTCTGGCTTACTTCACTTAGTACGATCATCTCTAGTTTCATCCATGTTGCTGTAAATGGTGTGATTTCATGCTTTTTGTGTCAAGTAGTATTCCAGTGTGTGTGTGTGTATCTTCTTTATCCATTATCAGTGGACATTTAGATTGTTTCCATGTCTTGGCTATTGTGAACACATGTCTTTTTGAATGATAGTCATGTCTGAATATATGTGCTTGGGCTTGCCTAACATTGAATTATTTCTTGATTTTCATGATGCCTTTAAGAAAAGCACCACTGGTTCAAAACCTTTGCTTCATTTTGCTTTCCCTGTTTCCCTTCCGCTTTCCCTTCCCACAATGACGGTGGTATTTGCTCTGCATCACACTCTACATATGAAGGTCTATTTTGTTATTCTAAAAGGAACTAGTGTTATTACATATTCTTTTTTCCTCAAATGTAATGGTATCCAGGCCATCTTCTGTGACAGGGAAAAATAAAAAATAAAAACTTCTACGCTGGCAACTCTGTGAATAGTGAATTCTTTTTCTTATTTTTTTACATTTTTACTGGAGTATAGTTGACTCACAATGTTGTGTTACTTTCTGCTGAAAACAAAGTGATTCAGTTATACAAACACATATATCCAGGCTCTTTTAGAGTCTTTTCCCATTTAAGTCATTATAGAGTATTGAGATGGGAAGGCAATGGCACCCCACTCCAGTACTCTTGCCTGGAAAATCCTATGGACGGAAGAGCCTGGTGGGCTGCAGACCATGGGGTTGCAAAGAGTCGAACATGACTTAGCGACTTCACTTTCACTTTTCACTTTCATACATTGGAGAAGGAAATGGCAACCCACTCCAGTGTTCTTGCCTGGAGAATCCCAGGGACGGGGGAGCCTGGTGGGCTGCCGTCTATGGGGTCGCACAGAGTCGGACATGATTGAAGTGACTTAGCGGCAGCAGCAGAGTATTGAGAAGAGTTCCCTGTGCTATACAATTGTGAATTCTTTAGTGAATTTTCTCCGGAAATCATGCTTGGTTTTGTTCAGGTACACACTGAATATTCTTGAAGAAATTGGAGGTGGGCAGAAGGTCAATGATGACACTATTGTCAGCTGGGTGAATGAAACATTGAAGGAAGCGGAGAAGAATTCATCCATCTCTAGTTTCAAGGTAATGTGCTTTGTCTCCTGCTCGCGGCCACCTGAGCTTTATGCTTATCTTTATTGCTTTCACTCTGCCTTTAAGAGTGACCTTCAGTATGAGGTCTTTGAGGCACCCCTCCCCATTTTGATTTTGCTTGAATGACCCATTATTGTTTTGATGTTCATAGGCTGTTTCATTGACAAATTTCTTGTCATTTTCCTCCCTAATAATTGGTTTTAAAAATCCAGTCATTTTTTTATAAGGGATTTTAGGCATTGTTCTTCCAAAGTAATGTAAAATATAGTATTTTGTTAACATGCACAGCTCCATGGTTCAGATTGTTAACATGATGATGGAGAAATGTAAAATGCCAGAAGAACTCTCATGGGGTATTTTTTTTTTTTTTTGAGAAAAAAAGCAGTTGTGTACTTGTATCCAAATCCCGTTTTTATTAATAACAGCATTATATTTTATTACATTTCTTATCTCATGTTTTAAACATTAGCTGGATTCTTCCTCAGGGGCCCTGGGCACTTGATCCACAGTATAGTGTCGGCGTCCCATCGTAACTACATTTTCTTGATTTAAAGGTCAAGATTGGGGGAGGGACCCCTTCAGAGTTATATTAACAGGGTGGGTGAGGCCGTTTGTCATAATGTCGATCCTCTGCTTCAAAATCAAGAGAAGAGTGAAAATCTCTCCCCTCCCAGGAAGGGCAGGGGGTGTATCTCTGGGTTGGGCTATACCAGGGGTGCCTGGACTCTGAGCTCAGCACAGGAAAGAGCCAGCCCTCCACTTACCGTTCGTCTGGTCTGAAGAGCTGAGCAGAGACTGGTGATCGACATGACCAAATTTTTCCAGAAAGAGATCAGGGAAGGCAGTGAAGAAGGGCGCTCCCAGGATGGACTGCACTCTGAGGACCAGGGCCTTCTTGTTCACAGAAATCGTGAAGATAGCTTTACCATTTTCCTGATTTTTCTTTTTTTACTGCTTTGCGTGACATATGGGATCTTAGTTCCCTAACCAGGGATCGAACCTGTGCCCCCTGTGACAGAAGCGCAGAGTCTTAACCACTGATTCAGGAGGAAGTCCCACCGTCTTCCTGATTGTATAATGAGGAATCGGGGGCTCATTTAACTCCTGAAGTCACAGCTAGTAATTGCAGGTGGTGGCCACTAGGAGGGAAAGCTCCTTTCCCTGCAAGGTGGGGTTCTGGAGCAGTGTCTGTCGGTCACGTGACCCGACGGTTGAACAGTCTCGGGGGTGCGTCTCTTGGTAGAACAGCCGCCGCTACAGGAACACGGCCCGTTGCATTACCCGGCAGTTTCTGGGGTGTTCCTCTTAGGAATGTTTGACAATTCTTTTCTCCTTGTGATGCTCAGGGTGAATTTCCTCCTGTTTTCTCACCAAGTCATTACAGAATAGATCAAAAAAAAAAAAGAGAAAAAAACACAAAAGGAAAATGTCAAATTAGCCCCACATCGCTTTTTTTTTTTCTTGATTTATTTTTGTTGTTTTTTAATTTGTACAATGTTATGTTGGTTTCTGCTGTTCACCAATGTGAATGAGCCGTACTTACACACATATCACCTCCCTCTTAAGCCTCCCTCCCCTCCCCCTGTCCTGCCCCTCGAGGTCATCACAGAGCACCAGACTGGCATTTTAAGTGAAACCTTTCAAAAAATGAGCATAGCCCACCCCCCCATCAGCCACTGTGGAAACAGTCCTGGTTCCCCCTCACCTATGAATGCTGCTGACTGCTCACCATCTCGCTGCCATCAGCCCCCCAAGGCTGTGGGAAGAAAGTAGGGAAGAAGCTGAAACTACAGTCGCTCCATTTTGCTTTCCTTGTGCTTCTTCACCAAAAAATTCTGTGGCGATAGCAGCTCTGGCTAATAATGGAAATGAGAGTATGGTTGTATGTACTGATTTTAATTTTGTAGTAGGACTCCTATTACCTGGGCTTCCCTGGCGGCTCAGACAGTGACGAGTCCGCCTGCAATGCAGGAGACCTGGGTTCGATCCCTGGGTTGGGAAGATACCCTGGAGAAGGAAATGGCAACCCACTCCAGTATTCTTGTCTGAAGAATTCCACAGACAGAGGAGCCTGGTGGGCTATAGTCCACCGGGTTGCAAAGAGTTGGACACGACTGAGCGACTTTCACTTATATTACCCAGAAATAAGTAAAAATGGACCTATCCTATTTTTTATGTTATTTTATTATTTCATTCATTTTAATTTCTTGGCCATGCTGCACAGCTTGTGGGATCTTAGGTCCCCGACTAGGGATCGAACCCATACCCCCTGCGTTGGAAGAGTCTTAACCACTGGACCGCGACCAAGGAAGTCCCTACCCTTCCTATCTTTTTTAAAATATTTTTGTACCTCTGCAGAGGGCCTGTGCTGGAGACCTAGCATCTTGCAGGGGTCCCGCATCTTGTTTCTTGGTTAGAATTGATTCTGATTTGGACCCTCGAGGTATGAGGTGTTTAGACTTGACTGTGCTCAGATGGGGACATGCAGTTGCCTCTCCCTGTCTGTACTCGCAGGTACCCAAGAGAGAGAGCAGAGTTTTGTGCATTCACAGTTCTGAGTGAACGACTGCCTGCCTGTTGGCAGACAATGGGTTTCCTCTGCATAGTGAGCCACCAGGCTACTGACGCCCCCTAGAGAAACAGCACTTGGTTTGAAATGCCGTGTGCCACACTGTGGCATTTCCCAGACCAGGACATATATATTTCATATTTAAGAGGAGTTCCATCCCTGGTCAGGGAACTAAGTTCCCACATGGCACATGGAAAGTGAAAGTGAAAGTCGCTCAGTCTTGTCTGACTCTTTGTGACCCCATGACTATACAGTCCATGGAATTCTCCAGGCCAGAATACTGGAGTGGGTAGCCTATCCCTTCTCCAGCAGATCTTCCTGACCCAGGAATCGAACTGGGGTCTCCTGCATTGCAGGCGGATTCTTTACCTACTGAGCTATAAGGGAACATGCCACATGGAGCAACCAAAAAATGAAAAGAGCCACCCACTCTCCCTGAGCCAAACAGGAGTAACTTGGGAGCATACTGATGAAGCCCACGCTTTCTCTCTGTGCAGGACCCGAAGATCAGCACAAGCCTGCCAGTCCTTGACCTCATCGATGCCATTCAGCCAGGTTCCATTAACTATGACCTTCTGAAGACGGAGAACCTGGACGAAGAAGAGAAACTCAACAACGCAAAGTACGTAAACAAGGCCGAGGTCTGGGCGGGAAGGAGCGGGTAGCTGTGAGGTCTAGTGCCCATGCCTCCATGCAGACAATTTAGTTTCACTACTGATACTTTTTCTTCTCATGACTTACTGCGTCCCATCACCTTTATATTTGCTACTGTGCAATGACAGTTTAAGGCTCCAGGTGTGAGAGGGAACACGACCAAAAAACAACTGATAACAATTGAAATGGAAAACAATTGACTTCCAACTGATAAGCAAGCCTACAATTTCATAACACTAATTTCCTTATCATAATCTATAGGAGGTTTCCTGAGTAGAGTTTGTACATGGTGGATGCGGAGTTAAACACCCTATTTGTGAATATCCATGGATGTGCCTGGGCAGCGGTGGGGTTCAAGGCCAGAGTCTTCACTGGTTTGAGAGCAGCTGCTGCTTGTTACACACAGGGTGAGGGTGGTTGTTGTGTAGTCAACTAACTCTTCTGCGACACCATGGACTGTAGCCTGCCAGGTTCCTCTGCCCGTGGAATTCTCCAGTATTCTTACTGGAGTGGGTATCCGTTCCCATCTCCAGGGGATCTTTCCCACCCAGGGGTGGAACCCGGGTCTCCTACATCGCAGGCAGATTCTTTACCGTCTGAGCCGCCAGGGAAGCCCAAAATATAGAATCCTAAAAATGGCTATGGTGGCAAGATCATGCATTTTTTTTTAAAGTTCCATTTTCTTATTTTTGAACAACTTCTCCTCTATATTTTATAATGGAAAAATTAATTGTACTTCATTAATCATTCATATAGAGGAAGTGACTGAGAGATGGACAAGGAGAAAGAATGGGGTAGTCTTGCCTGGAGCTCTTAAATTAATGTGATCACTAAACTACAAGTAAAGTTATTTCAGAAGAGTGGAGGGAGTCACGGGGCCTCGGGTGGAATGAAGAATCTCTGGAGCACCCATTGTAAGAGGTTGCTAGATAACAAACGAGCAGAATAAAAGAACTGCCAGATTATAATAGTGTGGGCTCATTTGCAAGTAGACTATAACTAATAAAACTATCTTCCTGTAACTATAAACAGAGCAAAAATATTCTGATGCAGCTATGGTAATCTTATGTGAAAAATGTGTAATATAAAACTCTGATTATTCTACGATTATAGTAGCATAAATAAATACACATGCATGTGGGCAAGAATTGGAATGGAAGAAGGAAGAAAAGAATGGATGGGGGGGTAGGGTGAAATTCCCTGGAGGTCCAGTGGTTAAGACTCTGAGCTTCCAAAGCAGGGGGCATGGGTTTGATTCCTGATCCCATATTCCTTGCAGCCAAAAAAAGATTAAAAAAGAAAGAAAGAAAGAATTGATGCGTAGGGTCATGGTATTACAGATGCCTTTCCTCTTTTTTTCTGCCTTGTAAGCAGTGTTCTGTAGCTGAAGTGGAGTCTGAAGTCTTTCCCTAGCACACACTCTTGTTCAAGTCTGTGACTTTTTCTGCCACAGTAGAGCCCAAACAAATAAGCACCAAAAGTGGTGGGAGCTAGGAAGCTCTTTAAGGACAAATAATACGTTTGGTAATTATCACGAGGTCGGACAGCAAGTTTGATGGAGTTGGGAGCTTTGTCAATTTAAGACTTGCCCACAAACCTCGAGAGGAAGCCAGTGATTGATTGGCTCCAGCTGTACCAGGAGTGACCTCGGCATAGTAGATAGTTTACAGTATAGAAGGCTTCCCTGGCGGCTCAGATGGTAAAGAATCTGCCTGAAATGCGGAAAACCTGGATTTGATCTCTGGGTCTGGGAAGATCCCGTGCAGAAGGGAATGGCAACCCATTCCAGAATTCTTGCCTGGAGAATTCCATGGACAGAGGAGTCTGGCAGGCTACGGTCCATAGGGTTGCAAAGAGTCAGACGTGACTGAGTGACCAACACTTTCACTTTCTTTCATAGAGTATGTAGTATATATTAAATAGAATGACAGTAACTCTGACCCTGAGGGGTCCCCTTCATACGTGCTCAGGCTCCCCTCATCCCTCTTCTTTTCTCTTTTAGGTATGCCATCTCTATGGCCCGAAAAATTGGAGCGAGAGTGTATGCGCTTCCAGAAGACTTGGTGGAAGTGAACCCCAAGATGGTCATGACCGTGTTCGCTTGCCTCATGGGGAAAGGAATGAAGAGGGTGTAAGGCCCAGCGGGCGGGCCGGGGGGGTGTGCGCGGGTCTCTGGCTGCTCAGGGCCGGGTGCTCCCAGGAAACACGGGAGGAGTCAGCCATTCCAAAGTTTCAACTTGATGACATTATACACGGTTCCAAAAAAAAAAAATGTATGTCTGTTCAGCCAAGTAGCCTTCGTGTATTTAACAAAAAGTGCTTTATTCTTTGCAAAAGACCCAGTCTCTTACAAATATTTTTTTATCTTTGAATTGATTGCTTCTTTGAAAATGTAGAGAAAAAGAGATCTTACTTCCCAGGCACCATTCCTGCCTTTGCTATGCAGTCAGGTATAGAAGCCTCAAATGTAGTTCATTTTAACATAATCTTTCAAACCAGCTTACATTGTTTGCCTTCTTGTTCGGGGTGAGATCCAGGAGGGGAGAATCATCAGAGGGGAGAATCGTGAAAGCAGCCCTAAAGCTGGCTTCTGGAGGCCAGCGTTTGCTCTGTTACAAGCCTCCTTCCTGCCACCCTTCCACCTGTGTTACCTGTTGTGACTTTGCTCTCCACCCCTGCAGAACCTGCCCTCTCTGTGGCTCACCTCTGCTGGCCACCCTCCTCTCTGGGCCTTCTGGGTTCATCTGACAAATCAGGCTGTATTTGGGGTCCCCAAGAGTGTCTGGTAACCTCCAGACCTAAGGCCATTAATCATCAGAGCATTTTCTCAGAACTCTGTCTGCTAACCTCCAGAACTAAGACTTATCATCAGAGCATTTTCTCAAAACTTTTATTACAGTGTGGCTAAATATCTGTGGGAACTGCCTTGCTCTGATTTCATTTGCTCTTAGATCATAGTGCATGCGATGTCTGCTGGGCCATAGGATCAATGTTTACTTTTTTGGTACCCCCAAATTCTCAGGGGTCATATGTGCCAATTAATAGTGCCCCAACCTCAACCTGAAACCTGACCCCCACCGACACACTCACATACACACATACCTAGCCAGGTATCAAGCTGGCTAGGAACTGGCACAGTTGCTTTATGCAGAGTTAATTTACTGGATATTTAAAGAATTCCTAAACAAAACCCAAGGAACTCAGTGCTCTTGAGCAGTTCTAATAGACTGCAGTTTCCTTGAAAACTTACCAAAGGCTAAATATCAACAGAGCATTGGGCACCAATGCCAGACCCCTTCTGTCATGGTGGAAGGGCTCATGGAGTGGGTATCTGCTTTAGGGGTGGTGTGTAGTGGAACTTAGTCACTTTCTAAAGCGACTGAAATGCATTGCCCTGGTCTGCTCCTTGTCAGTAGGCTCAGGAAGCCGAGATATGACTTCTCCCAGCCCATAATCTGTATTTCTGCTGCATCTGATTGCAAAGTGGTTGGCTTTGTCTTAATCTGCACTTAATGTAGCCCCCAGACAATTCTCCCCCCATCTGCCTCCAGGAGGAATGTTACTGCCTTAATGGAAAATGAAGATAAAATAATGCTCAATCAAGATCTCTCCAAGTAAAATGTTCCCCTTATCAGACGTCTTCTGAAGGTTTCATGAGCGTGTACTGTAACTTATTCATTCAGCCAACATGCACTGAGGGCCTGTGTGTGCTAGGTTTTGGAAATATGCCCATAAATGAGGCAGGCCTTGAGCTCAGCTGATCGAGAGAGACTGATCAGAAAAAACAAATACACTGACAGGTGCTATGAGTTATTGATGAGGGCAGGGTGAGATGGGCTTACCCAGAGGAAACCGCTGAAGGAGAAATATTTTAGCTGAAAGTTGAAGAGTAAGTTGGCGGGAGTCAGACCAAGAGGAGGCTGAAATGAAAGGTAAGACACAAATTCTCAGAAACACATGGAACCCACTTGGGCCCAAAAGCCAGACTTGGGGATTGGTGTGAATGGGCTTCTAAGAGATTTGAGGAGGAATCTTTGGGGCTGGCGGTCCCTGGCATCTCCTCCCTAGTCTGGGTCTCACACTGGCTGGCGGGGGTGATGCTGAAGAAGGATGCATGCAGAGGATGCTCAGAGGGCTGAGGAATTCTGCTGTAACTGGCTCCCTCGGGTAGTCTGCTGTTCGGCCTGGTTACATCCTGACTTCCGGAGGTGTCCCTCACCCACACAGCTGCTGGAAAATTGGGCTCTTGTGCTGAAGCTCTGTGCCCCGGCTTCGCCAGCAGCACTCTTTGGAGGTGGCTGTTTTCTGGCCTAATATTCCTGCACCTGGTACACTTTCAAGAGAGTGGCCTTCCCTACATATCGAGAGGTTACTAATGCTAAGTGTTGTCTTTTGTATGTAAGACTGCCGTGATAGGTCCTGACCAGGAGGACCGAACAGGTACAGGTAAGCAGAATACTATCAAGGGAAGAAAACTAAGAGTCTTGGAATATAGCAATCAAAGCAGGACAATTTTTCTTAAAAGATTTTTTTAGGTTTTTAATGCTAGTTCCTTTTTTATTTTTTAACTCTAGTGGACATCCCACTAGTTACATTCCTTTTTTAACCCATGTAATCTCATGATTATTTTTTTGAGATAAATTCTTTATTTGGCTGCACCAGGTCTTCATTGCAGTATATGGCATCTCTAGTTGGGGCATGCAAACTCTTAGTTGTGGCATGTGGGATCTAGTTCCCTGACCAGGGGTAGAACCTGGGCCTCCTGCATTGGGAACACGGAGTCTTAGCCACTGGGCCACCAGGGAAGTCCCTTTCAAAATTTAAGAGTTTATTTACATTTTAGTCTATCCAAGTATGATATCAGAAAGGAAAATTGTACCAAAAGCTCTACAAGTGGAAAGCCCGCCACCTTCTCACCGCTATGTCTTTGAAGCCAGCTCATATTGGTTCTAGTTAGCTCCAGTTGTCAGAATGTATTATTTTGAACTTGGCCAGGATGAGGGTATTTATACTGCAGAAATAATCAGACTCTACAGATAGGGTATTTTATCCCCTGAGAGCTGGTTTATCAACCCACCACTCCCTCTGTCCCAGTCCCTCAGTTTGTATCGTTCTAGACACATTTTGTGCTCTTGTTACACACACACAACTTTTACTGGAAATGTTAGCATGCCATACACAACATTCTGCGTTTTCTTCACACCATACCTTTGTGATTGCTCTACGTTAGCAAATAGAGACCTGCCTCAGTCTTTTCAACAGATGCACAGTATGCTGTCATATGGATGTACCAACCTGTATCTAACCAATGGCCCATAAATGAATATTGAGGTTGTTTCCATCCTTTGCTACAGCAAATAAAGCCACAACAAAGACTGTGTCCACTTCTTGTGCTCAGAATGTTCATTTTCATTTAACAGGTACTTAATCAAGCTTCTGCTCTGTCAAAGGTATTGAACATTGGAAAGTAACACTTAAATCCTCCTTTGAAGTTTTCTCAAAGTATTTGACGAAGAACCCTGAGCTAGGATGACTTGAACCCCTCCCATCTTCTCCATTTTCTGTCTAAAGTAGGTTAAATCAGCAAGGAGATAATATGCACAGGGAAAATGTAATCAAAAGCAGAATGTGATCACTGCTATAACAAGTTTATAAATGAAGTATGGGGCTTATGTGCATGCATGCTAAGTCGCTTCGGTCGTGTCCGACTCTTTGTAACCCCATGGACTGTAGCCCGCCAGGCTCCTCTGTCCTTGGGATTCCCCAGGTAAGAATACTGGAGTGGGTTACCATTCCCTTCTTCAAGGGACCTTCCCCACGCAGGGATCAAACTCAGGTCTCCTGCATTGTAGGTAGATTCTTTACCATCTGGGCTACCAGGGGAGCTTATGGGGGTTCAGGGGGGAAATTATTTCTGAAGAAAAGATTAGCAACATTTTACAGAAGAGTTGAGCTCCAACTAGTGAGAAGTGGGCAGGAACCATGCCCTGTCATGTTCATGTCCCCATCAGTGCCAAGGACTTACTAGATTTTTAATGAGAGCTGGTTAACTTTTTAAAATTGATTTGTATTAGACGTGAACAAATGTTTCCTGACTGTGAGAGATGGCCAAGCAGAAGTCATTGGGAGAAAAGTTGCGAAACAGACATTTTGGCAGAGTTTTTAGAAGGGGATGGATTCCTGTTTGTTTGGAAATTATGCCATTCGAGCCTGGCTGAGGCAATGCACTGGACTAGAGGGGCTTTTCAAGCCTCAGCCAATCTAGTGATTTTATCGCCCTAAGCACACAGGCTTCCCAGATGGCTCAGGGGTAACGAACCCACCTGCCAAAGCAGGAGACAGGGATTCAATCCCTGGGTGGGGAAGTCCCCTGGAGAAGGAGATGGCAACTCACTCCATATTCTTGCCTGGAGAATTCCATGGACAGAAGAGCCTGGCCAGCTACAGTCCATGGTGTCACAAAAAAGTGAGACACGACTTAGTAACTAAATAACAAAACACACACACAGTCTAGTCCATCCTTTGGAGCACAGCTGTGGTCTCGATTGTAAAAAGTATGGAAACTCAGTCCACCTTAAGCCAGCCCACCTTGGACTGATCCTTAATACACAAGAGACATCCCCTTGGACTCCCGGTGTGCCTGGGTGGCTCAAAAGCCCACCTTCCCCGAAGTCACTCTGCCTTTCGTCAGCCAGCAGCTGTGGAGCTGTCATCAACCTTTGCTCCCTGTCCCCCTGCCCCCAAGATGTGCAGTGCTCTCGGATTAAATGCTGGCACTGCTTAGGGAGTGTGATGCGGTACAGCTCTGCCAGCCCGTGATCCCGTAACTGGAGCTGATGCTCTGCCCAAGTCATAGGTGCTGACTGAGCCTCTTGTGAAATCTGGTTCCTCTGACAGTTTCCTAATAAAATTCCAGTAATTAAACTCTCAGCTGCCAAGGACCACTGTTTCCACAATGTCCTCTCTCCCCATTTTTTGTAAGACAGCGTTTACTAACTGAGGCTGTGCATGGGTGATCAAAAATATAGGAAAAAGGAAATTGTGTGAATGTTTTCGCATGTCTAATGTCTACATATACTCAGTAATCCACCTTAGGTCCAGCACAAAAACACAGATAAACCAGTCAGTACCCACGATCTCACCTTTAACAACTCAGGGACAGGTTGGGAAAATGGCAGGGATCTTTATACTGGGTTGGTCAAAAAGTTCATTCAGGTTTTTCCATATATCATCTTACAGAAAAACCCAAATTGGCCAACCCTTCTTGGCCAACCCAATATTAGTAGGCATGTAAAAAATGGGGAGTTCCATTTAAATAAGTATTTTGGTTAATAAAGAGTTACTGTATATAATTTTTGGAATAATAATTTTTAGAGGATTAGAAATGCATGCAAATATTTAATTCTAAAGTTCTGTGCAATACAACGTCTAAGAGTTAATGATCTGGTCAGCAGCGTTGTTGGACTGGGCTAGACCAGGGGCCCACTCTTTGATAAGAGTCACAATTATCAAACTACCAACGGTATTTTTCACAGAACTAGAACAGATAATTTCACAATTTGTATGGAAATGCAAAAAAACTCGAATAGCCAAAGTAACCTTGAGAAAGAAGAATGGAACTGGAGGAATCAACCTGCCTGACTTCAGACTATACTACAAAGCCACAGTCACCAAGACAGTATGGTACTGGCACAAAGACAGAAATATAGATCAATGGAACAGAATAGAAAGCCCAGAGATAAATCCACGAACCTATGGTCACCTTATCTTCGACAAAGGAGGCAAGGATATACAATGGAAAAAAGA